TATTTCTTTCAAGCGGTTGTATTTAGTACTCTTAGTAGTTCGTGAGTGATGTGACACCATTTCTTGGGTAGAGGCATATGTTGACTTTCGCATTATTGTTTAGCTTATTTAATTTAGGTCATCCGCTTATTTATTTAATTCCGTTGTTTTCATGCTATCACTGATAATTATTAAAAGAAGTAATTTGTTAATGAAAAAGGTAGTTAAGGGTTGGCTTGCCTAGCTCTCATTAGTAGGCGCCATCACGACTCCCGAGGGTGGAAAAATCCGGGTCGTGACAAAAAGCCACATAAAACGTAATGAGACTATATATTAGATTAAAAAATAGCAAAAATATGTTAAATTATTATAAATTTACTATTAGAAATGAAAAGAAAAGACTATTTGAATTTGCGATTCGAAAATTCTTAAAACTATAATGTGAATGCTCAAATTATGGATAATACCACGAAATTAAAGTCTTATTTATGAAAAATAAAATAATAATAATAATAATAAATAAATAAAAAATTTACATTACAAAATAAATTTCTAATATAGGGAATTTTACAATTAGGTAATTTCTAATATATCTTAACACTAAAAAAGAAAGAAAATTTATGTAAAGAAATAAAATGACAATGAAAATATTACTACAACATTTAGGTATAATATGTTCAAACAATTAAGAAAATATTTTTCTATGATTAATATCTGAATCGAGTGCAGTTAGTTTGAGTTTGAATGCATAGCATAATTTTTTGAAAATGTGGCCCAATTTAGAAAATAAAATGATACGAATTATATAAATTTGAGATGAGATTTTTTTGTTTTTTTGAAAATATTACGTAAAGAACTAAAATGACAGTAAATTATTACAATGTTTAGAAATAATGTGTTCAGGAAATTAAGAATTTTTTTTCTATGATTAAATAAAATTTTAAAAATACAAAATAAATTTCTAATATTGGTAATCTTACTAATGAATATTAAAAATTAAATTGTATCTTATAGCTAAAAAATATAATTTAACTGCATCTAATACAAAATTAATTATAAGAGAACTCAATACATTTGGAACATGATAATCAAATAACTTATGTATTAATATTTTAGACTAATTAAACGTTACAATTTAAAACAAAATATGACATTATTTTGGTTCTAGCTAAAACATTAATATAAAACTAATTAACATTTATAGCAGGGCAGAGAATGTATATAAGAAAAAATAGCGGTAGTGTGAGGATACTTATACTTTAAATTAATTTAAAAATAGATAAAATAAAATAATTAAATTATATTTAAAAATATTACTAATAAATTTAAATGATTAAAATATTATGAATAAGAGGATAAAAGCATAAAAATATACCAACTTTCAAGAATAAAATATTTATTTTTATTAAATACTATTAAAAGGATAATAGCAAGACACTAATTTAATTATAAGCTAATACAAAATTATATGATAATATAATAATATTAAATATTGAATAATACAATAACTATAAGAAAAGAACCCCAAAAAAAAGAATTTACGTAAAAATAGTGTGATGAATAAAACATATTTGACTTCAGATAAAAATAAAGAGATAGTAAAAATTTTGTTAAAATAATATGATCTAATGAACAAGACAGATCACAATATGACATGTTTAGTATTCTTTAATATCGACAGTGGAACGAAATGCAAGTACTAAAATCAAGGGATTAGGTTGCTATAAATATATATTAAAAAGATTGATTGTCTACTAAGAGATTTGAACAATAATTTTATATCCTGCCTCATAATTAAATTCTCATGTTATATAATGATTATCTGAGAGGTTTATATTTTTAAGGTTATTTGTACATGATTCAAACAACTTACATCGCAATTTGAAATGATTTGTTCGCGCGGATATTAATACTAGTATGTAGTTTAAACATAAGTTAAAGTTGGTCCTCTCCAACCAATGATTTTTTTTCCAGCAAACCAATGAATAATCTTGTGGGGTTTTCCTTTTTATTTTTGTCTTGACTAGAATTTTTCTAATTTTACGTGTCATGTTTATTTTGACCACGTAACAGAGGAAAGGTCTTGTCATAAGACAAGCTCAATTAAAAACTTTCATTCCTAAATTTGCTATCTCAAACTAAATTGATAAGAAAATAGTAATTGATTGTAAAATATTTAATGAACTTGAAGATTCTCCTAGCAATTTAAGTTTTATTCATCTATAACATCAAATTATCGAAGCACTAATGAAAGGACATTTTACAATTGCATGTCAAGTTCAATAAATATAATTTTAGAAAATCTGAATAGATTGTATTATAATATTATCATTAATTTTGTATGTCAAGTATATCTTACTAATTAATCTTTGAAAAAAGAAGACAAACAAATAACTTCAGTAATTGAAGGCAAAGACTGAGGTCCCACTAACGCATTATGTAGGAAAAGATCTATTTCTTCATTAAGCTAACTTAATCGGATCAATATTCATCATTTTCAAAAAAAAAAATATTATAATTATTAAATAACTCTAATATTTTTTAATGGAGTAATATTTATGTAATTTTTATAGTTGTGTATTCAATGTATGTACAACCAACAACATATTTGTTTTGTTGATTGACGTATTATACACCTAAAACTAGTTCTTATAACAACAATAAGATCATATCCTATATAATCTCACGTAATGGAATCCGCAGAGATCATGCTCCAAATTCTTCTTTTCCCCCAAAAAATCTTGCTTTCCAGCATAACCTTGCTTCCTCTCATTAATTGCATGAAAAATGAAAATCCTTCGAATTTATAAGACAACTAGTTTTTGTATACGTATATTGTACGTGTATCCCACATTAGTAAATACAAACAATATAAATTAGAAGATTAGTACCAAAAAACAAAGGAAATCAAATCTTCATAAAAGAATATTAAACATCAAAATGTGATATCCACATATATTAAGGACAAAAACAACACAAACTATTTACAACTCTTGCTAGGTAACTTAGAGGGATAAATTCAAATTTCATATAATTCTATACTCTATTGGAAATGGGTTATAGCGATTTGTCTTAGTTTAAAAATAAAACGATTGATCTCAAATAAAAGTCAATAGAGAAAAATGATAGAAATAAACATAGTGCTTGGGAAAATAACAACTTGAACATCGGATAAGAAAAAGAAATATGCGTCAGCGTCAACCTAAAATGCAATTAACAAACAAAAATGCTAGCTACTGAATAAATGTTTTCCCATCCCATGATATTTATATTTTGGAATTTCATATAATTATTTTCCACACAAGCAATGATGACATGAACATACCTGTAGTTTGTGAGCAATTCAGTCTTAACAATCAATATTTTACAATAACTATAAAGGCTAGTTGTTTGTAAATGTTAGCTATGATAAACATACCAAGACCAAATATTGCGTCTAGTCCAAGATCATCATCGGAAAGAGTGGATATTCATGATATAACTATAATTGCAAGCATCTCAATATTTCACCTAATTAAACATTCAGAGAAAATTTGAAATACTAAAAATAGAGCAAAAGAAGTACAACAAACCCATAAATAATACAGACGATTGAAGACTCCATTTCATGTTTTGGGTTTCAGATACATTAAAAACACAATGTATCTCATATAGAATGTTATCGATCGTCCAATTTTCCGCTTTTGTTATTTGATCTTTGTTCCTTGCTCTTACATACAAATTGGTTCCTACTTGCAAATTTTGAAGTACTGTGGATAATAACTTCACGTGGGAATTTGATGGGTTATGGAAACTAATAAAGAAAATTAAAGAGGAAGAAGAGTTGGAGGCTAATTAAGAGGTAGTTTTAAAGAAGTAACTATTGATATATTAGACAACGGAAAGAAGAAAAAAAATGACTATTGAGTTCTTCATAATATTGCATATATAATAATAAATTAAATTAATAAATAAATCATTAAGTAGAGGGTAATTCAGTCATTCATCTTTTGAAGGATATTTTAGTAAAATAACTTAACCTATAAGTCGTCACACTTATAATATAGTATGTGTATATATATATATGATTCATGTCTACAGAGATTGGTCAACAAAAGTTTTGGACTTCAGCAGGACAACTACATAAACTCTTTCAAATGAAAGACTGGCAGTGTTTAGTAAATAACTTAGCGGTAAGGTATAACTCACATGAAGTCATGACTTCTTAGATCACAAACTAATTTTTAACATATTCTCTCATCATATGAATGTGATTTGCAAGTCAATAAAATGTGATATTTTATAAACCCTTGTCTAAACACCAACTTTGGCATCCAGGGAACGTCTGTTCTTAGCCATATATTTATCTGTAACTTTGATCATGGCCAGAATCACGAGGTTGCTCAATTCAATATGTCCATTGCATGTTGAACGTCTTCTTGCTTGCTTCTAGAGAAACCCGTCCAGGCAAAATGAAGTTATGGGGCAACTCGCTAGTTCACACCTCGGGACTGCCAAAAATTTAGTTTCTACAACTACCATATCCTATCCAGGCCATATGAGTGTAGCAAGGGGTGAGAAGAAACCACAACGTACATAAGAAATTGACAATGCCAAGAGTACTACTTTTCAACTCAGAGCAACAGTGTACATACATTGCAAATAGTATAAGATCTTTGAAACACATTGCTCTTTGGCCATATGAGAACAACTTTTGCAATATCAGCAGCAGTCTATTCTAGATACGATTATCCAAGAAACACTAATCCAATTTTCTGAAAACAGCTCTTCTAGAACCCAGATAAATGACAAGTGAATATGTGTCATGCTACACCTTTCATTTAATAACTCCGGCAAGGAAACGCTGGAAAAACATACTTACAGAGAAAGCTTACCAACATCCTGTGCTTGCACCAAAACGCATTGGTATACCATGGCTAAGTGATAAATTGAGATAGGAGCATGTATAATTGGCCATGGTTAGGTAACAAAAGCGTACAGAAAACAAATGGCACACACTCATTGGCTTGGTGTAAACATCGGGCTAAACAAGTATTTCGTCTTAACTAGTATTATTACCCATCAAGCAAAATGGCGCTAAAACAAAAGACTCTATAGTTATATAAAAATCCTCAGCTTTTCGACATCCAAACCTAAACCTCAAAGTGTTTCCTTACATATACAAAATCTGATTTGACATATATGCACACTACCTGTAACAGTTATTGGGAACGGATACAAAATGCTCTCTCACAAACGTATAATTGCAAGCTAATAGCTATGTGAACTTGATCTGAAACAACATTTAGCAGGCAGTAATGGATGTTGTGCAACCACTACTTTTACCACATTTTACAGATGCCAACTAAATGGGGACAGTGGCAAAACAAGAATCACTAGGATCGTAAAGCCATGAATAAATTCTGTCTTCGAGCATGTTCTGGAATGAGACGCTGGAGAGTTTCAGGAGGAATTCCAGTGAGCTCTGCAAAAGAGCATGTCAACAGCAAAAGAGATTGAGAAAAATTCAGGGTTGAGAAATTGAATATTTATACACGAGCAAAATGTTGCCAAAAGATACTGAGAAAAGTGGAGAATGCTGAATGCTATATCGCTTAATCACTAGTAGAAAATAAAGAAATATAACCATGTACACTTGCTGAGTTGAAAAAAACCAGCCAGACTCCCATTTTCACCCGTTTCTTCACACTTTTTCAATAAAACTCTAATTGCACAATCAATTTTCATAAACAAGTTCATGGAATCGGCGCTTTGAGAAAAACTTCATGAAGTAGTAGCTGGTAATTAGCAATATCTCCCTGATCAGATTACTAAGATATGACACCTTCAGTGATCAGGTGTAAACAAACATCAGACGGATGTGCCTACAAATAATGTATTATTGGAGTATTACATCAATGAACAGAAAACATGCTCGAAGCTATGTTGCATAGACACTGACTTATTACATGATCCGGCAAAAAATTAAAATACAACAGTTAGGACTAGCTACCAGTGATAGAAGTTAGCTATTTTTTTTTTTTTT